GGTGTGCTGTCTTGTGTTTTCTCAACATATATTTTACATATCTTCTAATCTCTTTTTCACTCTTTCTCATTGCATTTCACTTTTTTCTTTCTTCTTCTTTTTCTTCTATTAATAAAAAAAAATCATAATAATGGTGTGGAGAGGATGGCTATAAGGGAAGAAGGGAGGCCATCAATAAAAAAAAGAGAGACCAGCAAACCAAATCCATAAAAATAAATCCATAATTTTTGGTTTCGGATGAAAACGTAGAGGAGGCTCCGAGCAGCAAAGCAGGGAAAGATAAGGGAGGGCAGGAGAGAGGAAAAAGCATCTTACTCCTCAACAACTAAACAACAAAACAAAACAAAAAACAATAAAAATAAAACAAACAATTTTTCCATATTAACTTTATTTTTGAGTAAAAATAATAGCATTGTTGAATCTATTGTGTGATTTAAAGTTGTTGGATATGTGGTATACAGTATGGTATTTCATTGTAAGGTGTTATTTTGGCTGACAGACCCCCCTCCATTAAAACAATTGGGTTTAAACAAATATCTACAATCAGCCAAGCTGTGTGGGTTGAGTTCTTATAAGAACATTTCCGAGAAAGCAACCCTCCCACTTCTTCACAGCAGCTGGAGAATCTTGTATCGCTGTTTCCTTGGTGTCGACTTTCATTTTTATACCTTAAGAGCTTTCCTTAAGAGAAGAATTGCAGTGAGTCATCAGATTTAACACGTGAAGACCTACAGTGTAAAGTATGTGCAGCGTGGCTGCTGCGTTTCATTTATTTTGTAAGACTTTAACAACAGCGGCACCTACAGACATTATTTTTTTATTGGGTTGGGCCATGTGGGGGTCTTTGAAAATCCTGGGGTGGTATTTTTAATTAGAAGAAAAATGTATATTTATAGTTTTAACTCTTAATTACTGAAAAATAAATACAATTGTTTTTATTATGTAGTTCTACTTATCCTGAATAGATAGGGGAAATAATGCAAACCCAGTATTTTTAGAGGTGGTTATTGGCACTCATGGCCCCTCCTTGGTGGCACTCCTGCTCATCAGTAGAACACATTTCTGGTTTAGTCTATTTTTTAATCTAATCAGAATTTTACAATGAATGTGTCGTTATCTACGAAGAGGAATGAACAAACCCCAGAGCATTGTGGAGGTGTGTCATTACTAAAAACAAAACCTTTCCAGTTTTAACCTTCATTCAGATCTTAATTCAGCTGTGCTTTTTTTCAGATGTGAAGTCAAAATATAAAACAGCCTGGACTCTTGAGTTTCTGGCTTGTCACAGTGGCAGGTTTCACTCCGACTTTTGCTTCATCGTTTCAATTCCAGAAACACCAAACACTGCGTCCTATTCTTCCCCCAACTGTGACACAGCAACACTGACAGCATCCTCTCGTTTTATGCCTTGTTTGGCCAGGATACCGCCAGAGATGGTTCGACGGAGGCGTTGCCATGGAAACCACACTGTGCCTGTTCACAAATAGCAGCAGCAGACAGGACGAGGTGTTTGTATGAAATCCCAGAGCATTTTCAGACTCAACATTTTCATGTCTTGGATGCAATAATTATTTTTTGTTTTCACTTCTGTTAGTTTTTCAGATATTTAATGTCTTCATTATAAACATTATTGTCTTAGTGGGCATTTTTAAGCTGCCTTTTGCAGCCCCAATWTTTGTATTTGCTCCTTAACCTCACTTTGTTATCTAGATTGTTTGGTGTTGTTTAACCTATTAAGCCTTATAT